CTCAGTTTGAAATCAATGTTTATTACAGTTTGAACTAATGAAAACTAATTTGGATGCCGGTAAAAAAATTATTTTAAAGTAAATTGTATAAAAACAAATATACTTATCAAATATCTAAAAACCGCAACTATACCATATAACTACGTATATTGCTTATTGCAGAATTGTATTCGCATAATTTTGTCACAATCTAAATTATCACATACTTTATATCTCAAATTGTAATTGAGTGGCTGCCTTTATACTGTCAAAAATAACAATCCGTTAAATAGAATAAATTTCTATCATCAATTTATTTGTGAAAATTAAATAAAGAGGATTAACACATTAAAGAGGATTAACATATTTAGAATTTAACTTCCCGTTTTAACCCTTTCGACAGTTAAGTTCAGTTCGGAGAGGAAGAACCTCTTCAGTGCCGCAGTTAAACAACAATTTGTATAAAAGAAACTCATAAAAACTTCTACAAATGCTCCATAAAAACTTCTAGCTACAAAAAACGCTACATGAAAACTTCTAAAAATTTTTTTTTCTGGAATTATATTTACAAGGATACTATAGTATATCACGAGAATCGGTAACTTCGTCGTTAACATTATTTCGTCTTAAATGTTTACTTATGAACTAATTATTGTATTTTGAGCTTTAGGGTGGTGTAATAAATTTCTAATGAAGATCACCTGTTAATTTACCTGTCACCGATTGATCACCTCTCAGCAATTGATCACATGTCACTAATTATCGTTTCACTTGAGATTTCTTTAAAGACTATATCATAAGAGCTTTCAATTATTTCTTTAAAAGTAGAAGCGAAACATTTGTCTATGCATGAAGCATTTAGTTTTATTTTGTATATGTTTATGGTGAAACGACATTCATTGAATATTTTAGAGATTTCTTCAGGTGTGTATTAAGAGTGCATAAACAAACATTCTAAATTAATTATACTCTTTAAAATTGTCTTTAAAATTCTCGAATATAAATAATATTTGTTTTATGGCTTTGTACCAAATGAAATTTGGATTTTGACATAAAAGCTATTTTTCCGAATCCCAATACAGCTTTAGATGGAAAAAATAGTTTTTTTATTCCAATATAATTTGCATATTCTAGTACATTTAATTTAGCACATTGAATGTTTTTACCAATCTACACAAAATTAAATATTATTACTAATAATATTATTCCTTAACTCTTCATTAATCACTATTTAAATTACATCACATTAATTACACTATATCAAATACTATTATCATTTTGTACTACATTAAATAATATTAATATTTCAAAATATAATTTGTTTTCTAAACTATAAATTATTTTATTTTCAATGTATTTTTCCTTGTTAGATAAATAATAGAAATATGGTAGTAATACTGCCAGTTTATTTTAGTTATTTTTATTAAGAGATAAAAAGAACCGAACAGCGGTTGGCGAACTCGAATTGATCATTTTCCATTACAGGGATCGATCAAAACTGCAATTATACAGGGAGTTATTTTATTTATATTTTTTATATCATTATTTTTATCTTTATCACCCTTTACGAGCGCTATTAAAGGTACTGTTTTTCTAGTTTTTTCTTCAATCTTCAAATAACAATATATATATATATATATTAAGCACTTCTGGACCTACGGGCTTCGTCATGAAATTTTAATTTTTCTTGTTTTTTAAACTTAAAATGCGAATTGCGAACCAACTTACTGACTATCATTTAAATTATAAATTATAAAAATGATTAGAATATAAAATTCAAACTATTTAAGCAAATGCTAGCTGCTAATTCCTTAAGAATTCCAAATTACTAATTTATCGGCAATCAATTCAACCGTATATATCAGATAAGTGTGAGCAGGCGAAGCCTGATCCTTAGAAATCTAAGAAAATGTGTGTCAATATTTCTAAGGGTTTTATAAATGGTGGAGAGCATTTGTCACTAATTTTTAGAAAATTTAATTCCTGTAATTAATGTCCTTATTTTGACCAAAAAACATCCTTTAAAAAAAAACTAAAAAAAAAAAAATTCAGATCAAGATTCGAATTCAGATTCATATTTAGAATTATCCTACCCTAATTAAGGCTTTAAATAAATCTGAAGAAAATAGCTGTTGAAAAATACGATGTCTGGCTTATTCAGTGCAATTATAAATTATACAGAAAATTTAAACAATCAAAGAAAATTTCAGTTATTAAATCTCAAAGATGACTGGGTCACATTTATAAATAGTCGTACTCTGAAGATTTTTCAAGATCTTCCATCTTTCATCTCTCCGTAATGATTTATTGAATCATAGTTCATCATGATTAGGAAACTTTACAGGTAATCGAAAAAGGGGACGATCAAACACCAAATGCAGTGATTGTGTGGGAAAAGATTTTAAAATCATGGACATAAGTAGATGGAAAAATCTAGCATCTGATCGAGTCAAGTGGAAAGGACTTGATGGGACGGCTCTGTCCTGCACTAGGCTGCCATACTGATGAAATTAGAAGAAAATTACGGAATTCAACAATAAATAAAAATAACTTGTCTTCATTTTAGAATTAAAAAGAAGTTGAACAAGTTTAAGGTAATTACGACAAATAATTTATGTATAAATTAAACAATTTACCTGGCTATCAAGAAATAAATTGCTAAGCTTTAAACGAATGAAGTGATCTTTTGGTACTGAAATCTTCCAACAAAAACGCAAAGGTCTTTCAGAAGAATGCTGATTAAACCAAATTGACCTCGTCAGTGCATCATTCTCATCAATCGAACCATTAAAGCTCGATAATGCTGTACAATCTTAGTAAGGTGAAGAATCTACAATAAAACGAAAATTATTAGAGAGATTTTGCATAGCGTTTGCCTTGCGATAACCAAAATTCCACCGTTTTTCAATTTTGCGATTTGTAGTTTAAAAGTGTAGGCGTTTGAAATAACTGTCATTCATCTAATTTTGATTTTCGATGCCTTATTGTAATAAAAATCAGTGAACCATACTAATGGAAACAAATTGAAAATTGTATACGTTATAATATTTTTCTCCATACAACTTATTTGCTAGTACACTATACATAAAATTTTTAAATGCTGTGAAATGCAAACGGTTGACCCAGGACTGAACAAAGTTATAATTTAAAAAAAATGTTCTCTAAAAAAATTCTCGTTCTACTATAAGCAAACAATTGTTCTATTGTTATAATGTCCAACTACTTTTTATAATGTCCAGAATATTTATTATATTTGCTAAAAATAATGAATTTCTTAGGATACAAATAGAAAGTAATAATGAGGATGATATAATTTCTTTAGTAAAAGAATTTTAAGAGACTTATTTTAGTAAATATTACAAACAACTTACTATAAGCTTGAATACTTAAAAATCCTGAAAAAATTATTAAAGCAAAGAAAAGAAACATTATTCAAAAAGTGCACTTTAACATAAAACTTTAAGGTAAATAAATAACTTAGGATTTTTTGTTGATCTGATTGAAGACCGGAATGCAACTTAGATTTCAGAAACACGTTTCAGATTAGAGCTGTGTATCGTAATACTGGCTTTAATGTTAAGACATCAAGTTTATTAAAAGCAACTTTTAAGTAACGGCTCCAAAATAACGGATCTTGAGAACCTGTTAGTGATATACTTGTTACTTTCTGAAAGATAATCATTGATACTTGCCAGTAGTCAAGTAAGATAAGGAGATAAAATTAATTGTTTTTTCTTAGGGTTCTACTTTATTAAGAAATACCAGAATGAATCAATTGTTTTTAAAACGAAAAAATGGGGGAAAATAACCAAATAATATTTTCAATGTTTGCTTTGGCAGCCTTTCATCAGTAACATGTTATTTACGGAACTGTTCCAAAATATAGGAGTTATTATTGCTACTAATATTTAAAAAAAATCCACTTCGACACATTAAACTAACGAGGAGGAGAAATTCGATCTTTCGAACCTTATGACTCAACACAGAAATAATCATAATAACTAATCTGTTTACCATTGAGTGTTTGATAAAGATTAAATAATTTTTTCCCTCCAAATAATTTTCTTCATTTCGCTCTCACGTTATAAAATGTTTATTAAACAATTAGTTTTTATCTGATTTTACAAGATGGAAAGGAGAGAAAGAAACAGCTTTCGATAAATAATAACTATAATCTTCATCATATTCCCAAAGGTTCTAACATTTTCCCTTTCTTCTATTTAAACGTTTTGCACATTTGCTTTCTGGTTTTCACTCCTAATAATATGATAATATATCCATCTTATATTATCATGAATATAATCCTAATCAAAGGAACCAAAACGTTTAGAGATTCGACTAAGTCAGTGAAATTCAGAGTGTCCAGTGACTGAGATTTATTTTTTAACTTTAGATTTAATATGTAGGTACCTTTAAAACAAGACTTTTTAATTTATTTATTTGCCTTCATTCATTCATATTTATTTATTTATATTTATTTATTTACTTTTAGAAATTGAACATTATTGGAGCAACCAAGACGCAATCCGTTAGCTGCGATTGATTACTGATTATTACCTGTATTTGGTGATTTATTAATTTTTACGATTCATATATACAGGGTGTCTATAAAAGAACTCCGGGGTTTTAAAAATTCATATCTCACTAACTATAAAAGATAGCAAAATTTAGTCGATTTCTCTGAAAAGAGTAGATCAAAAAGTTTTACTCATACCAATTGGGAATGTTTGTATCAACTGTTGGCGGCGCTGCAGGGCGTTGACCTTGAAATGACGTCGCGAAATTTGAAATGATGGCGACTCCGCAACAAAAGGCTCAATGTGTTATTTGGCTCATAGAAACGAAGTCTTTAGTTACCGTACAAAGAAACTTTCGACGTAACTATGGTGTTAACCCGCCTTCTGACAAAACCATTCGTCAATGGTTCAGTGCATTTAAGGAAACAGGAAGTGTTTTGAAGCAAAAGTCGCCGGGTAGGCCGAGTGTGTCTCAAGAGAAAGTGGACAGAATCCGAGCTTCATGCCTTCGAAGCCCTAAGAAATCGTTGACAAGATGCAGCCTGGAGTTGGGGTTACCAAGANTTGTTTCATATACTCGGTTATATATATAATTCCAATATTTTTAAAAAAATTATGTGCGTTATCCTGACTATTTCCTCCCTTTTTCAGTTTTTATTTCCATTAACCATAATTTGTTATAATTTATTAATGTTAATTATCCATTCTTGTAGAAAATTTTATTTGTCCTTCTCGAGATCTTTATATTATATGCTCACACGTGAGTTCTCTTTGAAAGTATAAAAAAAAAATTAGATACTGCCATATAACTGTTATGTTGAAATTTAAAAAAAAAAAAATAGACTATTCAAACTTAGTTTAGGAAGTCAAGAGTTAAAAACAGTTTTCACTTTCAATTTATATAATGATATAAGGAATGATATTACTTCATTTTCGTTTTTTTTTTTTATTAAGTCACTTTCATGTGTATTCTGCTTTGTCCAGATTATTATAATTCTTTCTTTTCAAAAACAGTTGATAACACTAGGGAACAAAACTTCATTTTCAAAGGAGCAACCAAGTGCATCTGTATCTAAACTTATGTCTTTATAAAGTTGTGCATTTACAAAAGTACGTTTTTGTATCTGTTTCGTAACTTAAAATATCGTCTGTACTAATTGATTAACATATTTGAGGTCATTCTTTTGAAACTTAAGATTGAGTCCTCGGACGTGAAGATCCGATCATTAGATCAAGAGTTAGTCACGGTGATCCGTTTATTTTTTTGCCCACTGTACTACTTCTTTCCTCTACAACTATGCTCGTATATTACGCAACCTTTGCCAGACCAATCGATCGCTTTTACAAGTTTTAACAGTAATGAATATTACATTAAAAGGAAACATTTTCTTTAATTGGATTCAATTTATCATATAATTAAAGTGTTAAAAACTATTTAAATTACATAACAAAATACTTTATTTATTCATAGTCTAATATGTTATTCCCAATCCTAGTATTTGTTTCATTTTATGTTTAGTTTGTTGTTCAAAAATAATTATGCTCTTTGTCCCAGCATTGTTTCTGAACAAATGGCTCCTTCAACAAAAGTAACAGGTACTTAAATTTGTAATAACAGTGACCCGTAATAGTTACAATTTTTATTCAGTTGGGAAACAGATTTTTTTTCTTTTTCTTTTCTTTTTTAAAAAAATGTTATTTTTGAAAATCATTGCTGAACCATTCAGATGGCATAAAAATAAGCATCATATTTAAATCCAGAAACTCGAAATTTTTTTCTTAAATGTCACGACGTTGTTGTGACATATTTGTTGGTCATTCCTTATCATTCGAACTTCAGATCTCGTGATCTTTTGAGATTATCACTACATCCTTTAAGATATTTCGCTAAGTAAAGTTCTTTAAATAAACATTTGATTGTGATTCCGTGGTCTCATCTCGCAATCGAATCATGTGGTCAGTTGGCTTTTGAAATTTTCAGAGGACGTTACAATTTTATGCAAAAATGAACTTCGGATGCCAGATAAGAGCTAGGGACCACGTTCTTGTCACACGAATTGATTTTATTTTATTTTCTAATAGTCGTTGAACATAAATATGTATTTTTAAATTATATCTAATTTTGCTAAAATATTTATAAGTTCTTTATGTCAACTTATATCAGTGTTTCCCAAACTTATGACTTTTGTGTACCCTGTCTAAATTTTTCGTAAAGCTGTGTACCACTAATAAAAAAATGAATGTACTTTTTGCTATAAAAAAAAATTGCACAAAAGTTAAAAATCATAACTGGCTGTTGACACCATTAATTATTTGCTGATAACTCTGCAAAAAATAGCCAATAGAAAAATACGTAATCGTAAATTTTCTTGGCTAGCTTTGTTTTTGAATAAAACTTTTTGAAATTTTCGTTTGCTGCAAGATATTTCGCAAAAGAACGCGTAACCAAGCTAAACTGTTCCCGTAACCCTGGGGGTAAGCGTACCACACTTTGGGAAACACTGACTTATATAAATAAAAGGTCTATTATGTTAACTTAATGGTGATATTTATTTCTAAGCTTCTCCGTTACAAAAAAATTTGTTTCATATACTCGGTGTCATTTCCATTATGAAGTTAGATTTCTCTTTGCCAGTGAAGAAAGTTCTACACAAATAGCCCATCTCGATTTCGTGTAGTTACATTTCATTTTATTATCAAACTATATAAACATGCTTCATTGTAAATCTGAGGTTGTTAAAAGTTAAATATGTCAGACAGATATTCAATTTGTGTTACTATCGGTATTTAATTTTAAAGTTATTGCAAAAGAATATTATTTTTAAATTTAATCATATCTATATTTGACGAAATGCTTCTATTAACAATAGAAGATAATGCCCAAAACCTCTTTCTCATTGTTATTGGTGCATTTTTATTGAACAGAAAGAATTCATACGTTGGGATTCTTAATTTGCAACGAATATCCGGAAATCTTTGTCTGTTACAACGGGATTATTCTATTATTACTGTAAATATATCTTTTATTCAGTTCTAATTGGGCTACAATGATATTTAATGTACAATGGGAAAAAATCCTAACAAAATCGGACGACTAGCTAATGAGAAATCGAACTTTATTTATACAACTTTTTTTAAATTCGATTTCTCAGGAATATTATTCGCTCGATTTTATTCAAATAATGTATTTTGTTACATTAAATTACATTCTGTAAAATGTTTTAAATGTTCGTGTACCTTACAATTAAAATTTACTCGACTATTATCAAATAAAATAAAAGAAAATAATATATAACTATTAAAAATTAGTTTTTTTTGCATGAAATTATCTTTGGAAATACAAATTTTATTATTGTGTGCAAAATTTTTGATTTGCTTTAAAGATTCTCCTGATATTGCAAAATATGCTGAAAATAAAATTAAGGGGTCAAAATGTTCTACAGCTCTTCTGAAAAACCATTTGAATCATATTTCATAAATTTCGGCTAACACCCATATTTTGAGGGTCAGAAAGGAAAATCGGTCGAAAAAAAATCATGTTTATTCAGAGAAAGTATGTTTGATTTCGAAACTTAAAAAATATCGTCTGAACTAATGACTAAACCCGTTTCAGATCCCCCCTTTTCAGAATTGCAGCTTTATAATTAAAAATGATACTCTTTTTTACTGATTTTAAAGTTATTTTTCTCTTACCTTAAAGTTTAACATCGATTTTATTAGTCGTCATATATATATATATATATATATNAAAAAAACAATTATGTTCCTCGTTTTGATTTATTGTAGAATTCGTGCAAAAAATTCCAATAATTTGTTTTTAAGCTTTAAATTTATACATGTTAACTTTTGTTTAAATTTTTTTTTTTATTTCTAATGGCAAGGTAAATGGTACAAATAGAAAGATGAAATAAATAACGAATACAAATGTACGTGGGATAACAACGAAAGAAGACCGAAGTCATTACCTTAAAAGTTCTCTTGCTTCCCAATATCTTGAGGACTCAGTGTGTCCATGAAGGGCCCCACATAGAAGCAGGTGGTCCCTGCCCAATTTCTCTGCAGATTTACAAAGTGGACAAAAAGGCGTGGTGGAAAGGTCTATGCGGTATACGTGAGCAGAAAGACAATCGTGGC